CCTCACAGCTCACAGCTCACAGGACACACATATCTGAAGTCAATGATCCGGACCAACTACAATACAACCTCACTACGCTTTCATGTCAAATGTCTACAACATCTACGTCGAAATGATAGCGCAGCAGATGCACGACCAGTCATTACATCATGACTACATGGTCAATGCGAATACGTTGATGGCAATGATTTCCACAGTCCTTCCATGTCACAATGAAAGATTGAGATCGGTGGGCCATACTACGGAGTCTACTGTCACTCAGAGCGGTCGCAACGGGCAAAGTACTCGTCGAAGTACTCGTCCTTGTAGTCCGTCGATGTTGACATCTCCTGTTGAACTGTGGCTTCAGCTTGAGTCATCTTCGACACCAATTGCCATCCTTCTTCCAACTTTGCTGCCATCACCGCTGTACAATGCTGTTGGGAAGATGGCATGAGAGCAGCATGCCGGTTCAATGCTTCAGTGCACAATGTGCTGCACTTCATCGACGTCTGGCATATCCTCTTCAAAGATTGCGACAGCTCTTCAATGGCACATCTCATCCTTTTTGATGTTCCCGGTGATGTGGATCCATCGGTCCTCTGGCCACCGCCCAGCGTTCGCACTGCTTTCTCCTTCTTCGCACGTCGTGGTGCTTTCATGACTGCTGCTGTGTCCTCACTCCGAGCGTAGTCCTCAATGAGATCGAACCAATCGCGTCTGAAGTTCTTGGGAAGGCCATATTGATCACGTTCCACATGACTCATCTTCCAGTAAGTTCGCACGCCTGTACGTTTTTCGTGGTCGAAGAATGCTCATGTATGCAGAGAGAAGTGCTTTCCACCATTTCCTGCATTCAGCCCATGATCTCACATACCGCCTTTGCAGCATCCAATCTGAAAGGTCATGCCATCCACGCAAGTGTCGCCGGCCCTGCAGATGTCCTGGCTTTCCGAGGACGCCGCCTGGTGTAAGTGCTCTGCCGTGTATTAGGTGGACTGTCTCCTCCACGCCCCAGTCATTGTCCTCGTCAACCGCCGCGCCCGCAGAAAAGAACATACCCTCTGAATCTGTCAACGCCTTGATGGTGTTGACGCCTAAACCTTCGACCTTCACTATACATTTCCCCTCACCGAACGTCCCATCGTCGTGTTCCCAACACCCCTCCTCGCGTCAGAAGCGACAGTATTCAGTGTGTATACATTCTGAATTATTGGGCCGAAGCAACACCCAGACACAAAAAAAAAAGGAATAAGGGCGTCGCTGCACTACTCTCGAAATTTGCAAAAGGAGAGTGAATCTTACGTTAGATTATGGAAAGATACACCCCAATGATTTTTGTCTTTTGTGCATGTCGACAGTAGTGCAGCGAGGCTCTAAGTCGCGCTCCTACGTACACCACCGCGTAACCAACCACACACACATGGCACGTACGGAAGCTAAGAACAAGAATATGTACGTGATATAAGCCATTTATCTATTGGGACATCCTGTCCACATTCATTGATGTTGGAAGGCTGAAACCACCCCGCGCCAGAAACTTGTCCACAGAATCATCGTCTGACACCACCGCGGATTAGACAGATTCGGAGCTCTCCACGCGCACGGCTCCCGCGGTGGGCACATCGTTGTGGCCACCTACCCCGCTTCAAAAGTGGGAGGCTGCTACCACGATAACCAACGCCATTCTGTCGTCCCGAACCTACAACCTGACCAAACCCTAGCCAAACAGCGTTCGCAAGAGGGATCTTTTGCGCAGTCGAGTCCCGTCCGTGCGATCTCTTTAGGCGAACGTGGATCTGACGTCGTGCGATATCGCCGCACAGTCGCCCAGGTTCGCACCGTGGTGGGCAGCTACCACGATAAGG